CCGACTTCCGCCAGGAGCTCTGCCCGCCGCCGCCGCCGCACGTGCCGCTGGCCTTCGGGCCGCTGCCGCCCCGGGTGCTGGCCTCCAAGGGTCCCGCGAATCCCTTTGCTGACCCCGAGCCCCAGCCGGACGAGGACGCTGAGGCCCCCTGCACCCTGTGCGGGCGCGCGCTCCAGGTTAGAGGCTGCACCTGGTCTCCAGGTTGAGGCAGGTCTAGAGTTCAGACGACTTAGGATCAAGCTGTTTATTGAAGGATTGCGCAGCTCACTGACATCCTTTGGCCACTCTGCTTCTATCTCTAAAATGGGGACGATAATACTTGTGGCCATTCCTCGACATCGACATCAGTACATTCCTGCTGGGGACCTTCGCCCTTCTTTCACGGGCAAGTTCTTCCTTAGACCCTCCAGTTTTGATAAAATGCCACTTCTCCATGAGGTCTTTCTTGGCTCTCTATCTAAAATTGCAACTTTATTGGTACTGCTTTTCTTAAAAAAAAAAAAAAAAATGTTTTTATAGATTTCAGAGAGAGAAAAAGGGAGAGGGAGAAACATTATTAGGTTGCCTCCTGCATGCCCCCTAGTGGGGATGCACCCGGCAACCCAGGCATGTGCCCTGACCTGGAATGGAACCAGTGACGCTGTGTATATGGGACAACACTCAACCGACTGACCCATACCAGCCAGGGCTCCTTTTTTAAAAGGCTTAACACTGTCTGACATATCATGTACAGTTGACCCTTAAACAACATGAGGGCTAGGGGCGCTGAACCCGTGCAGTCAAAAAGCAACGCGTAACTTTTTACCCCCCCCCAACAGCCCTCCGTGGGTACCCATAGGGGACTGGTTCCAGTACCCCTTACCCCCTCGGATTTTCAAGTCCCTTATATAAAATGGCATAGAAAAGTGCATACAGTTGGCCCTCTGCATCTGTGGGTTCCCAGTCCTGGATCAAAAATATTGTTTTTAATCTGTGGTTGGTTGAATCTGCAGATGCAAAACCCAGGGATATGGAGGGCCCACTGTGTATTTATTGGGGGGAAAAATCCATGTATAAATGGTCCCCTGCAGTTCAAACCCATGTTCTTCAGGGGCCAACTGTACTTTATTATCAGTCTCTTCCACCCCTCCCATACTAAACTCCACAAGGGTAGGTAGAATGGTCTGGTACAGAGCAGGTGGCAAATAAATAGTTAGTATATTAACAGGTGATAGGTTTGACTTCCACTCATAGTAAATGTAAGTTAATTGGGTACTGTTACACACTGCTAATCTAGGGGAATACATTCTGAGAAATGCATCCTTAGGTGATTTTGTGGTATGAACATTACAGAGTCCACTTACATCCAGATGGTACCACCTCCTACTCACCTAGGCTCTGTGATATACTTCTGTCATATATGTGTTCCTCGTTAACTGAAATGTTATGTGGCATGTGACTGTACTTGCCATTCAGAGATTTAGTTCCTTACTTAGCCTGTGAGGAACTCTAGGTCTAGCTGCAGTGGCCATTCTGTTGTAGAATCACTTCTAATACTCAGAGAAAATTGGCCAGCTTAGTCCTCATGGGCAAGTATTTTAACCCCTCCATGCCTGTTTCTTCATCTATAATATACATTGCCTCATAGGGTTGTTTTAGGCAAAGTCCTTGGAATGGTGTCTGGTCCATAGAAATTCTTTGAGTGTTAGCTATATCACTACCTCCCATTTTCTCTTACCTGCCTGTGCTCTGACAGGATGAAGAAGGCCCCCTGTGCTGTCCCCACCCTGGCTGCTCCCTAAGGGCCCACATGATCTGCCTGGCAGATGAATTCCTGCGGGAGGAACCAGGGCAGCTTCTGCCCCTAGAGGGCCAATGCCCTGGGTGAGTCCAACTCCCCTACCCCAGCCTGGTTTACCTCTGGGAAGACGGTGCCCAGTTGTCCAAGTCTAGGCCCAGGGCATCTGAGTCCTCATCTTGGCACCCAGGGCCTAGCTTGGAGGAGGTTTGTGATCCTGACTCTATCTCCTACCAACTGCACCCCTTGGTAGCTGCAAGAACTCACTGCTGTGGGGAGACCTGATCTGGCTGTGCCGGATGGCCACTGAGGAGGAGGAGGAGGACTTGGAATTAGAAGAAGTAAGAGGTGGTTTTGGACCCTACCCCATCCCATCCCCTAGGCTGCCTTTGACCACCCTTCTTGTCTCCACAGGAACACTGGACAGACATGCTGGAGATCTGATCCTCAGCATCCCCAACGCTCTACCCATTCCTTTTCTGGGCCACTTCCCTTGGAGCCTGGGCAGTTTTTACTTGAGTACAATAAAAAGTATGAGTTAAGGGTACATTCTGGAATTTGCCAGTATGTGTGTGTGTGTAGCTAGGAGGCAGAGGCCCTGCCAGCCACTGGGCCTGAGGAGAACAGAGGATGGGGGGGGGGGCACTGACCCCAGCATGAACCGGCCTCTCTGCTTGAGGCCTCTCTGCATCAGCTTTCCCCAGCCTGCCTCTGACGTCACAGTTCTTGAGGGCTTAGGAGACTCATACCCTTGACTTGCAGCTCACCTACCTCCAGGGCCCCGCTTGACTTTGGACTTTAATCCAAATAGTAAGGACAAAGGTCAAGCTTCGTTCAAATCCAGGGGGGAAAAAGCACCTTCTGGGGGACTGTTCTTCCACCATCTGAGTGAGGCCCCGTGGGACCCGTGGGATGGGGCTCACACCCAGAGTTATGCAACTCCAGCGCTCTTGCTCTTTCCCATCCTGTGCTGCCTCAAAGAGAGCCCATGGAGCAGTGCCCTGCCCCAAACCCCATCACCCCATCCACATGAACCCTTGGTATCTTTAGACTGGCTTAGAGCCACTCCTCTGTCCTCTGAGACTGGGTTTATTAGAAAAAGCTACTGGCCTGCCTGCAGAACTGGAGTTTTGAGTGTAAGTCAGGACCAGGATTATAGCTTAAAAAAAAAAGAAGAAAACTATTAAGCCCTTTTGTCTAGATTCAGGCTTTTATTTTCTACACACTGAACCCACATCTTGGGTTTTTAGGCCAGTCTAATCCTGGCTTCAGCTGGGGTGCTAAGGAGGGTAGCAGAGAGGGGCCTGCCTACCCCAAACTCCACCCTTTCCAGATCCCTCCCACTTTGGATTTATAAAACATTCACTTCTGAGCAAGTGTGCACTCAGTGTACTGCACTCACGCTAAGCGACAGCACAGGATAGCCACAAGGCCAAAGTCTGGAGAGGACTGGTGAGTGCTAGGATGGGGTGGGCTGGGCCGGGCCAGACCTCCCTCACCCTGCACTGTTAGCTCCTATTGCTTGATTTCCATTCCTGCCTCTAATGACCCTGCCCTTTCCCCCATGGAAATCCCAGCTCATTCTGACACCAACTCCAGCCCGCTGGAATCCCTCCTTCCCTCTTCTGCTGAATTATCACAGTTTTGCTCCTTCACACACCAGACTTTGGCTCCCCAAACAAGCTCACTTGCTCAATTGGCTGTGTTTATGTCTGTGCCAAGATGGAACAGATACAGGACACCTCCCGCCCGCCACTGGAGTATGTGAAAGGGATCCCTCTCATTAAATACTTTGCAGAGGTGGTGGGGCCACTGCAGAGCTTACAACCCAGGCCCGATGACCTACTCATCATCACATACCCCAAATCTGGTAGGTGATGAGGTTGGGCTGCAGTCCCCCACCTTGGGCCAGCAGGGGTGTGCCCTCAGCCCTGCTTACCTCTCATTTTCCTCCCCAGGCACCACCTGGGTTAGTGAGGTCCTGGACATGATCTATCAGGGTGGCGACTTGGAAAAATGTCAGAGAGCCCCCATGTTTATCCGGGTGCCCTTCCTTGAGTTCAAGGGTCCAGGATGTCCCTCAGGTATGTGGTGGGGTGCTGGGGACAAGTGAAGTGGAGGGAGGGAGGACCCAGGCTCCAGCACACTAGACCTTTCCTACCCATGGCTTAGGTCTTGAGGTTCTGAAAGATACACCAGCCCCACGGCTCCTCAAGACACATTTGCCCCTGGCTCTGATCCCCCAGGCCCTACTGGATCAGAAGGTCAAGGTGAGTGGCAGAGGAAGCTAGAGAAAAGGGCTGCTGGGGCGATCCTAGCTTTGGCTCTATCTTCTGGGAGGGTCTCCTTCCTCAAGCCTGGTCTCATCTTAAAGAGGGAGAGGTCCTCAGCCTCATGCTCTGGTGGGGTCAGGTGGCCAGGGAAAGTGAGTCTCTTTGCAGGGTCTGGGTGCTCACAGGCCTCTGGAGGAGGGGCTGGCGGGAACCCTGCACGCCTTGTTCCAAATCTGGGTCCAGTGGCATTGAGAGGATTGTATTAGTATAAAATACAGTTCCTGAGGCCAGCCAGGACTCTGGCCTCAGAGCAAGGTTTAAATCTCAGCTCAGTAACACCCATACCATGGGAAGTCAAGCAAGTCAGTCTCTGAGACTGTTTCCCTCTTGACCAAACCAGGAGAAAACCTCCATGACAGGAATGCTCTGAAGGGTGGAATGTTATGCTTAGAAGATCGTACAGTGTCTGGTGTGCTGTCCGGTGATGATGCGGTGCGGGGGAGGGGGTGTCTTTGGCCTCTACAGGTGATCTATGTTGCCCGAAACGCGAAGGATGTGGCTGTCTCCTATTACCACTTTTACCGCATGGTCCAGTTGAACCCTGACCCTGGCACCTGGGACAGCTTCCTAGAGAAGTTCATGGCTGGGGAAGGTGGGCCTGACTCTGGAGGAAGGAGTGGGTGGAGCTGGGGGCAGCCAGCTAAAACTAATACCAACGTCGGTTCATGCCCTTTGCCCTTTTCCCCAGTGTCCTATGGGTCATGGTACCAGCATGTGCGGGAGTGGTGGGAGCTGAGGCACACCCACCCTATTCTCTACCTCTTCTACGAAGACATGAAGGAGGTGAGACCACTTGCTACCACTCCCTCCATGTTGCATGTGGGGTGGCAGGAGCCTCATGGGGACCTGCCAAGGCCCTCTAATCCCCCCTTCCCTATGGCAGCCCCCTACTGGTACTAGACCCCCCACCTCACCTTCCCTGCCTAGAGCTTCAGTGCCACCTGGGCAGCACACTGTACAGCTCTTAATTCCTAGTGCCTCAGTCAGTGCCATGTGTAGCCACTGATTCTCCTTTTACTGCTACTTCTCCTTGGGGCCACAGTTATGACAGAAGACTGTCCCTGCCCTCACCCGTAAGGAACCAGACACAGCTTAATAGATCACAACTTAATAGGGCAGGAAGCAATTAACTTTGCCCCAGGGACAGAGGACAGAGCACCAGAGTCAAGGAGCAGGGTGGGATGTGGCCATGACGTTGGGCAGGGCCCTCCCCTTTTGTTTGTTCAACAAATAAGCCAAGCCCCCACTGAAGAGCGCCTCTGCTGCTCCAGGACCCCAAAAGGGAGATTCGGAAGATCCTGGAGTTCTTGGGACGCTCCCTGCCAGAGGAGACCGTGGATCACATTGTGCGGCACACATCGTTTAAGGAGATGAAGAACAACCGCATGGCCAACCACAGCACCGTCCCCACTGAAATCATGGACCACAGCATTTCCCCCTTCATGAGGAAAGGTGAGCGTCCACCAGGAGGGGCATCTGGGAGGCGAGGGCGGGAGCAGCGGCTGGAGCTGCCCTGAGCCACTCTGGGCCTCCCTGTGGCCAGGACTTCCAGGCTCCCTCCTTCCCTCCCACTCCCACAGGCGTCACAGGGGACTGGAAAACCATGTTCACTGTGGCCCAGAATGAGCGCTTTGATGCCGACTATGCTGAGAAGATGGCAGGCTGCAGCCTCGAGTTCCGCTCTGAGCTGTGAGCTGTTCATGGGATCGCTGCAGAGGGCGTGGTGTGAAAGCAGCCCGGCAGTGGCCTCGGAATAAAGTACAGTTTGTGTTGCATGGAGTGTCTCTATTGGAAGCAAAGCAAACCTGAGCCAGAGAGTTAATGCCCCAAGTGAGGCCCCAGCAACCCAACTTGCCATATGCGGGGAGGGGTGAGAACAGTCTAGAAAAGTAAAACCCGGGAGACATGGGCCAAGGGGAGGAATATTTATTTGATCACATAACCTTTTGTTGCATTGCCCCTGAGGGCGGCAGGAGACTGTGAACCTGCCAGCCTGCATCACTTTTTCTTGGGCTCCTTACAAGCCACCACGTACCTCTGGGCCACATTGAGGGGAGGGGAGTAACCATCTGCATAGGAAGTGTCCTCAAACAGGACCGAATAGTCATCCTGGGGCTGTGGCAAGAGGCAGACAGGAGGCGCTGGTCAGAAACCCAGGCAAGGCCCCCCAAGCCTAGACCCATAGGAACCCCTGGTGTGTGGGCCCAGCCTTCCCTGTCTCATCTGGCTCACTGAGTCTGGATGTCTGAGCCCGCTCCCGGCTGCTACAGAGCTCTCCTCAGCTCCAAAGGGCCAAGGGCCAAGGGCGGGATGAAAAGCAGGGAAAAGGGGACTCACTACCCACTCAGGCAGGCCGCAGCCAAAGGGACTGGTGCCTTTCAGGGACCCGATGTTAAGGGGAGCAAGGACAATTCAGAAGGCTGCAGACAGGGACCTTGAGGAAGAGGGGAGAAGAGCCTCTAAACTGCCATCCATGATGGGTGACCAGGGAGCCAGCACTAGTGTCAGAAGCTCCAGGAAAAGCAGCCTTGGGCCAGGAAAGGGCAGTGGCGCAGGAGTCAGGGGCTGGAAGACAGGCCCCTAGGATGGCGCTTCCATCTCCGGGCTCAGGCTCCCCATCTCAGTGGGAAAGCGGGCTTAGAGGACACAGCAGGTCCGCCCCACCCAGCCTGCTAAGGCTCTGCAGGGCCACTGGCGCTGCCTGGAGGACATGGCTGGAGGGGAGTCACAGTGCAGACTGTCAGCAGGGGATGGCAGCTCACAGGACCCTCCCAGCTCAAAGGCTACAGGGTGAGGACAAGAGGGGAAGATGACCCCATGACCCATCTGGTCAACCAGGTGGTCCTGGTGTCATGGGGGATCTCGTGCATGGGGGCTACCTTACCCGTTGCGGGGGGGTGTGGATGAGGGCTCGGTAGAAGCAGGTGGTCTGGGGGTACAGGGCCAGCACAAGCTGCTCCTTCTGGAATAAGGCTTCGGGGTCCGTCTCAGGGTTGGCCTTCCACTGGGGCAGTGGGATGATACGCCGCCGGCTCAGGGTGTGTCTCCTGGAGGGGCGCTTAGGTCAACCCGGGGCTAGGCGGGGGGCTCTTTCCCAGCAGCCAGGCTGTCCCCAGGCTTCCCTTGCCCCTCCCTGGCCAGCACACTCACTCTTTGCCTTCTTCATCAATGTCATCAACCTCATACCTGTGGGTGAAAAGGGAACAGTGGATGCAGGGAGGTACCCGAGCTAGGTTAGGACCGAGGGGGAGGGTGGGAGGGGAAATGGCCCAAGGAGCGGCTCTTCACACGCTGTCCCAGTTCCCACAGGGCTGGGTGTGACCACTCACTTGTTGGTGGCATGGCTGTAACTGACCACCTCGGCCAGGATCCACTGCTCATCCCCATCCACGGCCTTTACCCGGGCAGCCACCTTGTCTCCAGGTTTGGCCACATAGTCCCCAGAGGCTGGAATGGCCCCACAGAGGGGGGGCGGCCTGAGGGTGGAATGAAGTGTTAGCCCCAGCCCCTCCCCTGCCAGCTCTCCCTCCCTGGGCCTGCCCTCACTTGTCACCAGGCTTCCCGATCCACAGCGGCAGGGTCATGGCTGACTGCTGCAGCAGGGTCATCAGCACCCCCCTGCGCATGGTCTTCCGCGGGGGCTCCGAGTCATTGTACAGGCCCGCGATCTTGGCCGCTGCGGGAAGGAAGTGAGCCCCTGAGGCACCAGGGAGAGGGTGCCGGCCCGCCGGGCCCCAGCAAGCCTGCATCGAGCTGTCAGGAGGCCGCCCCACCTCTTGAGTGAGCACCAAGGGCCCAGATGTGCCCCCTGACCCTCCACTAGAAGGCCCTGGTGAGAGACTGCCAGGCGACACTAACCTAGTGAGATGGCAGGTTAGTGGATGCCTTTGGGGGAAGGCATCAGAAAGGGCAAAAGGGGCGTTCTGAGGCATTGGTCATGTTGTTTCTTGATCTGGGTGCTGGTTACAACCATTTGTTAGTGAAAATTTATGGAGCTGTGTGTATACTTGCATGTCTTTTCTATTAATATGTTGTAATTAAGCAAAAAGTTAAAAGAATTACCAAATGTGGGCAGAGCCCTTACTTCCTCAGGCATGGCTCCACACACCCAGTCAACTTAAACCCAGGTGGCAGTGTGACAATTTCCATGGGTGAGGAGTCTGTCCACTGTGGGTTCATGGAAAGGGCGAGAGACGTGGGAAAGCAGCCTAAAGGGCTCTGGAAGCCAGCAACTGGTGTCAACTCCATCTGAAAGGCTGGCTCCAAGACATCCCCGTGTGGCTCTCAAAAAACAGCCAGGTTCTAAGCACAGCAAGGAATGGGCCTAGGGGTAGTAGGAGTGGGCAGTGCAGGGAGAGAATCCTGAGGGATTGGGGAAAATCACCATGGTGTTCGAGAATGAGGAGGCCTTGCCTCTGAACCCTGGGAATGACTTCATTCTCTTCCCAGTCCCAGGCTGCCCTGGGTCTCTGTCAAGACCCATGGACCGATCAATCACACCAGGCTGAGGTTACAGGCTACCCCTGCAGGAAGACGTGACTGCAGCTCTCAGGAGCCCTCACTCCACCTGGCTGAGGACACTGAACTAACTTGACGTGTCTAACTCACCGATCCGCCTCTCTTCCAGCAGAGACTTGATTTCCGCAATCTTGTCTAGGGCTTTCCGGAGGATGCTGAGGGTGGGAGAAAGGAAAGAGGTCTGGTTGAAGCACAAAGCATCGACTTCCCTTTCTGGTTAATAATGCAGACCAACCTTCTTGCTGAAAACTATGCACCCCATGTAGGTGACTTTTAATTTTAAAAGCATAAAAAAACTGATGAGTCAGCCCAGCGGGTGTGGCTCAGTTGTTGAGCACTGTCCTGTGCACCAAGAGGCTGCCACTATGATTCCTGGTCAGGCCACTCGTCCAGGATGCAGGCTCCATCCCCAGTAGGGGGCATGCAGGAGGCAACCGATTAATGTTTCTCTCTCATCGAAGTTGCTTTTTCTCTCTCCCTCTCCAGTCCTCTCTCTTTAAAGTCAATAAAAACATGTTTAAAACAAAACAAAACAACTTATGAGACAGTTGGAAGTAGCAGGCCAAAAATCCTAAGAGCATCCTAGATAGGTAAGCAAAGCAGAGGGCTGCCTTTGCCTGAGTGCATTCGACAAAGCCCAAAGAAATGTCACTGAGTGTGGGGAGCCTCTAACAACCTCTTGGGATTTGGAAGACAGAAGAAAAACTTGGGGTCTGCCCAAATTGGGACATGTAAAAGGAGGCTCTGCAGAGGACTGTGGGAGTTGTTGGCTCAGAGCAGGGCTGGAGGTGGAGGGAACTCATTCCTGAAAGGCTGCGCCCCAGAAAACTGTGGAGTTAATTGATGAGGTTTTAGACTGACTGCAGCTCAAGCAACCTGGCAGAAGTGAACACAAGTCCTGGCCAGAGGAAGGTTTCTTCAGCCTAGACCTTGGGGAATCTTTTCCCCTAATACAGGGGTGGGAAAAATAGGTTTACAGTTGCTCATGTGGAAAAAGACATGCAGCTTACGATTATTACAATCCTTTATTAATGCTATTTCCAGTACTCTCAACTGTAAACCTACTTTTGCCTATTCCTGTACATATATATATTTAACCCTTACGTGAGGACATGCTTAGTGAGAGGGAGAGGGAAAGAGAGAGAAACATTGATATGAGAGAGAGACATCCATTGAATGGTCCCTGACTGGGGATTGAACCCACAACCCAGGTAAATGCACTGACCGGGAATTGAACCGGCAACCTTTCAGTGCATAGGATGGTGCCCTACCAACTGAGCCACTCTGGCCAGGTGCCCTCAAGTGTATATGTATATGTGTGTGGGTATGTTTGTATAAGTATTTAATATATATCGTTATTAATTTAAGAGAGTGGAAGATAGAGGGAGAGAGAGACAAATATCAATGATGAGAGAGTCATTTATCGGCTGCCTCCTGCACGCCCCATACTGGGGATCAAGCCCACAACCTGGGCATGTGCCCTGACCGAGAATCAAACCATGACCTCCTGGATCCTAGGTCGATGCTCAACTGCTAAGCCACGCGTGGCCAGCTACATTTTAACATGAATAAGCAGCACAGTACAGGTAGTGTGGCTCAGTGGTTGAATGTTGACCCATTAACCAGGAGGTCATGGTTTGATTCCCAGTCAGGGCACACGCCCTAGTTGCGGCCTCCATCCCCAGTAGGGGGCGTGCAGGAGGCAGCCGATC